CCCCTCCCCTGTCCTTTGATGTGGGCTCCATCGCCCTTTCCCACTCCCAGAGCCTGCTTCAAGGACAGAGTCTTGAGATAATGATACAGTATTGAGAACACTTACACAACGGATGTGACTGAACCCGGGTAAGGCCTCTTTATCACCTTTTAAGATTTGGCAGGTGGGTTCAGGGATCCCTTGGTCTTTGGGGCCAACTAAGACAAGCCTGGTATAGAAGTTCCCTCTGCTCATTAGAACTTGTCACCTCCCAGCCTAGAGTGGCCTGCCTCTTTCTCTGGTCCGCATCCGGGGGGCCAACTTGGGAAGCTCTGTGAGAGCTGCCAACCGAAAACAGGTCAGCTGGGTGATGCTAAGACCACACCTACCTTATACTTCTGCCTCCGACATAGCTCCTAGCACCCTCATCCTGAGGGGTACCTCATAGGCCCTGAGTAATTCTGCGTCAGGGAAGGCTAACATGTCTTGAATGACTTGGAGCGTTCTCTCTCAGGCCCTATATATAAACATTACTCACGTCTGATCACAACTGGGTTTACCTCTTATACTTGAAAGACTGGGACTGGCACCATGCCAGCTACAAACGGACTTTCCCACATGACAGTTTCTTATGGCCTCTAACTTGGGATTCTACTCATTTCTGTTTATAGCACCTTGACCTTGATCCCCAGGGAAGGCACTGGTGAAAAATTACATGAGTTTGCAAACAGGCATCAAGAGAAAGAGAATAGTGGTTTAATTTAGGATTTCTCAGCCTTGACACTGTCCTTGGAGGGTTTATTTTTATAGAAATTGTGTAGCTGGCGACGGGTATTTTCAAGTTCTGAAAGCAACAACTATTTTGCTGGATTTTGTTCCTGTCTTTCACCTTCTGCTTTCTGCCCCACAGTTCCCTCCAGCCCCAAAGACTCCAACCTTCTTGTGATTAATGCTTTTTGAAAAGAGTTTGGAAAATAAATTTCAGTTCAGTTTTGTGGTGCAAATCACTCAGCCTTCGGGGGTTTATAATGTCTTGGTTATGAGGATGCTGCAGATTCAACCCAGAGGTCTGTGTGAAGCGGGGGAAAAAAAGGTGGAACAATTCAGCCAAGATGTATTTAATTTTTGAAACAACCATTATGTTCTGTGCTTAAATTTTTGAGTTTCTTTTTTATATTTCTTAAGAGATAATGACTAGCTTCAATTCGAGTGTGTGAGCATCCTGGAAAAATATAGAATGACAAAAACCTCATTTTGTATTCATTCATTTTTCAACAAGTTCACCCTTCTTCCATTTGACGAGACTGAGTGGGTTCTTTGAACTGGCATTGGTCAATGTTATTACCAACTTTGTGATGAATAATATTCTTCTTGCAAATCAAACGTTCAGCCTCCCACACATGCTTAATTCATTTTACTCTCAAAACGCTTGGCCATTTAAGTGATTGCTGTGATTCAGTTTTGAATGAAAGAATCACTCAGTTGCAGGCTGTGATAATTATTGCATAAGGCTTAGATTGTTCTTTACAAACGAGAGCAAATTATCTGGCAGTAACGAAGATAATGGGTAGGAGTGCTTTAATCTTTCTTCATACCTCCCTCACTGCACACCCTGCAGACACGAGAATAATCTTTATAAGGCTTTTTGTGGAGCTGAAGCTTCATGTTACCCATAACTATGTAGTGATAGGTGCTCGCCAGATCACCCTTACATTCCAGTGGAGGGATGCTTTGTTGATTGCATTTAACAAAAATCATAGAATTGTGTGGTGTTTTGTCAAGCTTCACCTGGTTGTCAGTATTTCTTCACTTTTGCTACTTATAGCCCTTTCAAAGGATGCGTCTAAATGCTTACATCTAAAAATAGAATGCACGAGAGTATGAGTAGCTTTCCTCCCTGTAGGTTCCATAGTGTAAGGCACCAGCCTTATCTGTTTTCCAGAAAGCCTGCCTGCCATTGTGCAGATGTTAAATGAAAGCGATCTGTTGGAGTAGATCCCGTAGATTTAATTACTAAGTGAAATAATTGCTTTGGTGTGCTTTGTGGCTACCAGAAGGCAACTTACGAAATATCATTTTAAAGTGATTTCAGATGATTTCAGAGTGTGTGAGTCCTGTTTTCTTCAGAAAGGTCTGGCCACTTAGACCCACATGCTCGACTCACTTCTCTGCAGTTGTTGAACAATTAGTTGTGTGCCATTGCTGCCCTTACAGATCACTGTAATTTCAAATTGTAGCTGCAAGCTATTGATGGCTCTCTGTCTCTTCCTGCCTTGTAGGGACCTTGCATTTCATTCTAATGAAGTAAAAATTGTCAAAGCTATATAAATGAAACGACAGGAAATGCAAGGAAAGCACAGTGCTTGCAACTTACTATTTAAAAGTTTTGTTTATTTTTTTGTTACTGATGAGAGTGGAAGAGAAATGAGGACTACATTCTTTGTACTATCATTAAGGGAACACTGATTGATTGATTCTTTCTAGAACTTTTTGCTGGAAATTTAATGAAGGCATCTCATCGTGTTTAAGTAGACCCAGTGCAGGTTGATAGCTCCTGGCTCTGTCTTGAATCTCAACGTAGTCAGATATGAACTGCATGATCTCAGTGAACCATTCAGCCTGCCTGAACTTTAGCTCCTTCACACGACATGATACCTTACTCCATAGCATTGCTGGAAGCATTTAATATGATGGAGAATGGAAAGCCTCTAATTAATGCCTGGAAGAAGGTCATATGTGCCCCCAAAATGTTCATTTCCTTTTCTCTTGAAGCTGAGGGAAGACATTTTCTAACTCTCTTTTATTTGCTATTTTCAACCTTCAGTGGAAAAGAGAAATCAAGACAGAGTAGTGAGTTATAAAATTCTCTACCATCTCAGTGGCAGTGGGAAGTGCAAACAAACGTCTATGTGACTTTACTACTAACTCTACTTTTTGCTTCTGTCACCTGATTCATTTGCATGATTAAGTACTTTTCCATAGCAGGCAATGAATTCATAGCTGGTAGAAGCCTGTAAACTACTCATCCATTTAAAACAAGCAAGCCAGCCCTGGTGGCCAGGGACTCTGACCTTCAAACACTAACTGGGACGTTCCCCATTGTGAGAAGAGCATAGTTGCAACATTATGGAAAGTAGTCATCTCGTTAATTTCTCCCTCTGCCTGAGAACACGCAAGTCACCAAGGGAGAGGCAGTCTGATCCCTGGGAATTACAATACAGCCCACAGCACAGCATCATCTTGCTTGGGTGTTACTAGCCTCCAATTAGAAACTTGGGGAGTTTCCTAAGCTTCCTTTAATGGAGTGAATGGCGATGAAGGAAGCATTCTGCAAAGGAACTTCCAGTGAGTTCTAACACAAAGCTGTTTGTCTTACGGATGTTTAAAACATAGTCTCTCTGTAGCCCTCAAAGATCTATAAATCCACGATTGTCCCTCTCTCCTACCCCAAGTAAGCCAGCTTACAGAATGAGTCAGATCTTGCAGTTGTTCTGATATAGAAAAATCACTGACCACTTGGGCTGTTAAAGTGACTTATTTTGCTAGAAGTACAAATGGTTGTAAACAGGTGGATGGAGAGGATGGGTCATTTAGGTATACAGAATTGACTAGGGTCGCCTGGGTGGCTTAGTCGGTTAAGAGTCCGACTTTCTCTTAGGTCATGATCTCGCGGTTTGTGGGTTCGAGCCCCGTGTCAGGCTCTGTGCTGACTGCCAGCTCAGAGCCTGGAGCCTATTTCAGTCTGTGACTCCCTCTCTCTCTGACCCTCCCTTGCTCACTCTCTCTCTCTCTCTCCTAGAAATAAATAAAACATAAAAAAAAAATTTAGGTATACAGAATTGACTATCTTGTAGCAAGATGAGATCAAAGGGAATGATATCCTTATACGGTATCCCCAGGAATAAAAAACATAAATAAATATGATCGCACACTGTTTACACATTCACTTGTTACCAAATATTAAGTGCCTGCTTCCTCCCACGTGCTCCTTCCCTTAACTCTGATGTAGACACTTCTTTCAAGAGACTTTTGGCTTGTCCGTGATAAAAGTGCATGCTATCTATAAGCGTTTGTGTGAAAATAAATACCTTTTGAATATATTGAGTGCCTTGGGAGAAAGACACTGTACACTTTTAATTAACATTATGATAATTTAAAAAATTAACTAAGTCTATTCCACTGGCATATTAGTGAGTCGTATGAGTCACTCTTATCCATTGTTATTAGATTAAAAATTTTAGGAGTAAAGCTTATCCGATTTATTTAGAAAGGGACTTGGCTACAAACGCAGTCCCACTTAATTAGCTTGTAATTTGCTTTGCTGCTTGAACATAAAGGGCAAGTCCCATCACCCTCGACCCTTCTTGAATGTGTCTTGCTCCGGTCACTTGATTAATTTTCTGAGCCAGTTCATACTCCAGATATAAGTCCTTGCATCCTGTTTCCTGGCAGATGTTGTCACTGTCATCCTAAAGCATATTCAGGGAGGCCCCTTGTCCCTCGGAAGCCCCGTTAGCTACGGAAGAGTGGCTGATTAAGTTATGCTTAAAACATATTAAGTGCCAACAAAACTGAACAGGGTGTGGGTGTGTCATGAGTCCTGGTCAGGAGGGAGAGAGTGTGTGATGGTAGGCTGGTGGCGTGTTTGGTGTCACCGTCAGATCTACACTCATCGTATCCAAGCAAGATGAATGAGGGACCAAGTGTGGGCTGGGGTGACCGATAGCTTTGAAGCTGTCAAGTAACCATCTGAATCCTGGGACTAAGGACAGTTCAGAAGCCTTGTGATTTAGTTACCAAACTACTAAACTGACTTTATGAGGTTGAAGGCTTCTCAAGGGACAATTAACCTGGGGATTCACAAGCTGTTCTGAGGCATGCTGGCCTGCGCCAAAGAAGCCAAGAAGGCCAGGGCGGGGGCCCCACCCACCAGCAAGGGTATATAAAAGCCCAGGAGCCTGGAGGGACAGTCACAATTCAGAAGCTAGCTGCAGCGAGTTACCCACAGCTCTCCGGGCACCATGTCCTACAACTGTTCCACGAGAAACTGCTTTTCTAGGCCAACTGGAGGCCACTGTGCTGTCCCAGTGGCCCCCGTTGCCACGGCTTCTCCCCAGGATGCTGACTGCCTGAGCGGCATCTACTTGCCCAGTTCCTTCCAGACGGGCTCCTGGCTCCTGGAACACTGTCAGGGGACCACTGGCGAGTCCACTGCGTGCCAGCCCACCTGTTACCAGCCAAATCCTTGCGTCTCCAGCGCCGGACAGGTGACCTGCTCTCGACAGACCACCTGTGTCTCTAATCCTTGCTCAACCACCTACAGCCGGCCAGTCACCTTTGTCTCCAGTGGCTGTCAGCCCCTGGGTGGCATCTCTACTGTGTGCCAGCCGGTGGGCGGGGTCTCCATGGCGTGCCAGCCAGTCTGCGGGGGCTCCAGGACATACCAGCGGTCCTGCATGTCCAGCTGTCGAAGAACTTGCTAAGTGTGTAGGAGCCAGTGAGCGAATCAAGACTCCAGGACCCGCCAGCTGTGTTTCCAGGCTCGTCCAGGAAGCTGCCTGTCCCCGAACAACTCTTCTTGCTGATTCCGCTTCTGACTGCCCGACTGCTTGGTTGCTAGCCCTGAACAGGCTGCCTTTGGCAATCGATGATTTTTTCTGGCCAGCACCAAGCTTATTTTAAGGGTTGATCACTGGTGGCGCATATGCGTCTGGATGTTTCCAGAAACTTTCCTTCCCCTACCCCAGTCTCTGGTGGTTTGGGTGTGTTTTGACCTTGCTGCTGTGTCTTGTGGCTCCTGCTTTTGTGCCTCTGAGGAAGGGAACTTGTCTCGCTCTGTATTCTCTCAATAAACCTGCTTACCTGGCATTGCAAATGTATGTCTCAGGAGAGTTCTTTATTTGCAAGGGTTTTTGCTGTCTGTGAATCATCCTTGCTGATCAGAGTCTGACTTTCTTTTCTGAGCCTAGAGTATGGGTTCAGTCATGGCGTTTCATGAAGGGCAAGGGGATATCTGATATTTCAGTTGGTTACAGAATCTTCAGGCATGTAGGGGTATAGAGTGACGTGTCTTCTATATTCACTCCAGTTTTGTCCGGGTGCACAGACTAATTTCCATGTAGGCCAAAGGAAAGTTATCTGGGAAACCAAGTCGTTTGGGGGAATTATCCAGTGAAGGGAGCAACAGAATCCATCAGAGTCTCGGGGTCTTACTTTATCAGAGAACCACAGTGGAAAACCGCGGAAGGTCCCTCCGTAATCAGACAGGATGGAGAGAGAAGAAGGAAGGGTGGAGAAGTTCGTTTCCAAGGCCTGAGATGCATGGCATCAAAGGGCGGCTCTAGCTTTAGATTTCCCTCACTTGCTGCAGAAGGGTGGTAGATTCCCCCAAAGGCTCTGAGTAAATCATAGCTCCAGGTTTTCTTAAGTCAGGGTAGGAGAGACTTAAAAACAAGCTTCGAAAACACATGGTGGTTTATTTTATCAAGAGCCTTATTTTGTGCTTGGTCTCTGTTAGAACCCAGGTACCAGTTAAACAAGCCGTCTGGACTGGTGGTCCACCTGCTAATTCTTTTTGCTTTTTCTTTTTAAAGTGAGAACTGGCCACTGATTTGTTTGCTTTTGTCCCTTCCCCTGTTAGGTCCAGAAACACGTCTCTATATTCTCTTTTCAGAGTTGCTGAAGGAGACACGGATGAGGAAGATTCTTACAGAAAATGGAGGTGTGGGTACCATGAGGAAAAGAGTGCCTATTCTCATAACAGAGGAGCTTAGTGCTGGGTGCAGAATCTGATTGGCGACCTCCTTTGACAGCAAAATGGTTTTCTTATTTCCCTAATAGTTTTTCAGAGAGGTATAAATGATTTCCAGATAGATGGAATATTTTCAAATTTTTCCCACTGCTGACTCTACTCTGAGAATTAAGAATCCCTCTTATCAAAGACATGTTAGTGTGTACAAGTCATAGTAATATCTCCCTAAGGCAAGACATGGTTTTTATTATATGATATTTCCATAGCCATTGTCTCTAAAATTAAAGCTCTGGATTTTAGACAAGTTCTGGTTTACTCTAAAATAGAAATCCCTGGCTGAACCCTCAATGGCTCTTGCAAAGCTATTGTTCACATGACTCTCACCGAATGTTTATTTCAGCCATTTCACTGTGATCTGGAGAATTCAAAGTTTTCAGAGATTGAAAAAATTATTTAATTTTATTTGTTTTTTATTCTTTAGCTTTCTAATTTTTCAATAAAAATTATAAGGACAGAGATGCCTTCCATCTCTTTTTTATTTAGATGGCTAATCATCTCAATATATTTATATATTGATAATATATATAATAACAAAGGTTTTATGAGCTGCTATGAATAAACTTTTGCTCGGGGTATTACAGTGATGGTGAGAATGTTCAAGGATGATGTAGCTATCCTGCCAACCTATTTACTCACCTTTATTTATGTTTGGGGAGTTATCTGATTTGCTATTAGAGCTATTCAATTTGTACTTGAACTTTGAAAATTCTCTCCATTCTTTGCTTTATTTCACAATAAATGACACAGTTTTAGTGTTTGCCTTTGAGGGCCATCTTTTAAAAGATAGGGCAATGACTTCTTACTCTTCTTGGTCTGGGGGCTTGTGTGTATGTAATATCCTGTCATGGTAGGGAAGCAGTTTGAAGGTCTTTGGTTTGAATCCCATTTCTGCCACTTGGCTGCAGGTTTGTTAAGCTCCCTAAACCTTAGCTCGTCTGTAAAATGGAGAGAATGGTAGCATCTCATGCCTCATTTTCAAGAATAGACTGAGGTAATGAGCTATTAGCTGAGGCATCCTGCCATTTGATATTAAAGGGAACTTGGTGTTCTCATCTCCTTTCTCTCTTTGGTGAAGTCCTGACGACTCCTGGCATTTCTGAGGGATCTGGGTCAAGAGGCTGGGAGGGGATGCCTTACTCTTTCCTTTCCTAATCCCTCTGGCTATGAAACTTTATTAAAATTTTTTTAAAAATTTTTGTGGGGGTTTTTGTTTTTTTTTTTTTTTGAGAGAGACAGAGCATGAGTAAGGGAGAGGCAGAGAGAGAGGGAGACACAGAATGCGAAGCAGGCTCCAGGCTCTGAGCTGTCAGCACAGAGCCCGACACAAGAGTTGAACCCATCAACTGTGAGATCATGACCTGATCCAAAGTCAGATGCTTAACCATCTGAGCCACCAGATGGTTAAATTCAGGTGCTCTGAACTTTTACTTTAGAAAAATTAGTTCTTTTCATGGATTTTCTTCCTATGTTATAGCCTATTTCTGTATCAACTGTAATGATTGAGATGTCTTAGCACAACTTCCTTCCCTTGCTGTCCATGGAATCCACCTACACAAGGTATTTGTGTGTGTAACATCCTTTACAGAAAGTTCAGGACTTCGATGGCATTTGTATTCTAGTGAGGAAGGCAACTTAAACTTCAATTTTAGACATTAAGAGGTTCCTGGGCCATTGTGTCTGGAACATTATCATGTTCAGTTCAGAACCAAACCTCCCGTTCCCTCCATCCCTTCCTCAAAACTAGCTTATCTCCAATGTTCCAGCTTCTGTGCAAGGTGCTGGTTATGTAGCAATAAACAAAACTCCTGTGGTTCTTGCCCTCATGAAGGTCATAGCTTAGTTCAGTAGAATAATTTCTATAGAACTTTTATATTTCCTTCTATAGCTTTGCCTTAGGAATTCCAAGTCCTTTACATTTCCCCTACAAATGCTTGTAAGGGTTCACCAAGGTACTACAACACGTAAGTAAAGGGTAAGTTTCTCTACATTTTTTTCATATATGATTCTTTATATTATAACTATGATAAAAATTGAAAATACAACCAATCTCTGGGATATCTGGCTTTAAATCTAGGAGACCTAAAGCTTTTAACAGTCAAGGGAATGTACTAGTAATCAGTTGAATGGCAAGAATGAAAAGTTGACAAATTGGGGTGCAGATCCAGAACAGTGCCCTTCAAAACTGCTCTCTGCCTTCAGAGAAGGTAGGCTCTCAAATTTGACTTTAGCCTTGGTAGATATCTACTTGGTCTCTTGATATTTTTGGAAACTATAGCTTATGCTTAAGAATTTATAAATGCCTTCCTATCTGAAGGGCCTGGTGGTAGCTTTCATGGGGGTGAGAACCTTATTTAGTAAGATCGCGTGCTCCAGCTTCTTTGATATGCTCTATTCTCCTGTATTTAACAGCCTGCTAAGGATTTCCAGAAATAAGTCTTATAATAAAATTCCAAGAAATTTTTAAAACTCAAATTGGTCATAATGTAATTTATGAATTAGGGATATGATTTGTCTTGCACGCTTCAGTTTCCGATTATATAGCAATTGTGATCAGGAATGAGCTGCCATTAGCACTGGCAAAGAGCTATTATAAGCAAATACAATGGCTTTGTGTAAGTTGTTCTGTGCTTTATTATGGAAACGGAAGATGAAAAGGACAATGCAGCATAAGAAATATGCTAATACCCGGGAAGTCAGTCTCCTGCCCAGGAAAGACAGGTGATCCCTCGTCCCTGAACAAGAACTGGGTGTGGTCAGGTTAGTTTTGTTTAGAGGTGTTTTGATTTCAGAGCCACAGACTTTCTACTATAAAACAGTTTGCTATTGAAGTTTGTTCAGAAAAAGCGACTTTATCAGATTTTCTTGGGAACACATCAATTGCATCATGGCAGAGAAGACTTATTAAAATGAGATATTCTTTTTTAAAATAGTTTTTAATGTTTATTTATTTTTGAGAGACAGAGAGACAGAGCATGAGCTTGGGAAGGGCAGAGAGAGAAGGAGACACAGAATCTGTTAAAAAAAAATTTTTTAATGTTTTTTATTTATTTCTGAGAGAGAGAGAGAGAGAGAGAGAGAGAGAGACAGCGTGAGCAGGGGAGGGTCAGAGAGACAGGAAGACACAGAATCTGAAACAGGCTCCAGGCTCTGAGCTAGCTGTCAGCACAGAGCCCAACACGGGGTTCAAACCCACGAACCGCGAGATCGTGACCTGAGCCGAAGTCGGTCGCTCAACCGACTGAGCCACCCAGGCGCCCCATAAAATGAGATATTCTTTTATGAAAACTTCTTATTATATTCATTCTTGCCTCTTGGTTAATGCTGCCACTCTCTTCCAAGTGACCTGGGATGGAAATCCGGTCACCATGTTTTACTTCTCTTTTCCATAATTCCACACACTTAATTCTTTAGAGACAGAACAATTCTTAGCATTTCCTCTATCCCTGCTTGCAATGGGCAGTCATACCTTACACTCTAGTAGTACATAAGTTCCTAAGTGATTCCAGTGTTTCTCTGTCCTTTCTGGAGAGTTCTACCACATTTGTCCTTATTAGCTTGCTGAGGCCTCTGTAACAAAATATTATAAACTGGGGAGCTCGAACAACAGAAACTGATTGTCTCGCAGTCTGGAGACTAGCCTCCTAAGATCAAGGTGTCGCAGGATTCATTCTT